CAATTCAATTATTCAAACTTCAATTTTTAATTTAAAATTTTCAAACTTTAAATATCGAAAAAAAATATTATAAAATTTATAAGATAAGAGAACAATATTTTCCATTACGTGGTTCAAAATCATATATATTTAAAGAAATATTATTGTATTAAGTTTTATAAGATTATACAATATTTAATAATTCTTTGGCCTTTTAATAATGATAGAATTGGAATGTTTTAGCTTGTTCGAAGTCTTTCTAAAATCCCTTGAACATCTCAATAATCTTTATAAGGCACTATTATCACGATAATATGTTTGATTTTCAATTCTTATATATACATATATATATATATATATATAAAGATGCAGTGTGTTATTTTTGGATTATTAATTTTAACTATTAAAATTATTTTGATGAATTTTTTTGTGATTCCATTAGTGGAAGTTTCTAGTCTTAAAATTTTGATAGCTTTGCTTGTATAACCAATACTCCTTATATATAATGTGAACAAGATATCTTTGAGTCACACATAATAAATACATTAAAAACGTGTAACACAAGGCATTTTTTTTTTATTATTATTGGAAAAACATGTGACACAAGGCATTTACTAACTCTTTTTAATTTCCTTCTTTATGGTAAATACTAACTATTAATATGAAATAATAAATGCTCTCAAAAGCCACTCTACACCATAATGCCGAATCTGATTTAAATTTTATTTGAAATATAGTAAAATAAGAACTCAAGGATACATTATTTTATTATAAAATAAAATTCTACACTCTTCATCGGTTTTATTTGTTTTTATTTGATTTTTTCAGACAGTTTAAAACAGAATAAAAAATTGACTTTATAATATTTATATTTAAATTTTAAAAATTATAAATATGATGTTTCATGATTTTTAATGTGAAAAAATTAAAAAAAACAACAATTTTAAAATGTAAAAAGATGAATATTAGATATTTAATTTTTTTTAAAAAAATGCATAGTTTTAGGAAGCTAAAAGAAATAAAAATAGGGTTGAAGGAGTATATGTCTAGAAACTATTTAATTGGAGGTTAGTCTTAAATCAAGCGAATCAGGGCTGGTTTGACTCAGTCGTTATGGAGCATAAACTCAATCAACAGAGATTCGACTCTGTCAATCTCACAGGCCTTTATTTTATTTTATTATTTCGAAGGAAAATTCCAATTTAATTTTTTTGTTGTTTATTAATACCTCAATATCCTGCATCCAAAAAGAATAAAATGACCCAGAGTAATACTAAAACTGTCCATTAATTAGAAAAAGTCTATTAAGATATGACTGAGAATTAGTGTTAATTAGATTTTTAATGTAAAATTAATTACATGGTTTTGTTGAAAATATTTCTGTAAATACTCTTCCAATTATGAGATTTTAATATTCTTTCTATCCCATTTTTTTATCTTTTCTTTTTGAGATGTCTCAAAATAATTTTTTTTATTTTTAAACACTTAATAATTTTCTTTGAATCTTTAAATACCTATAATACCAATTTAATAGATAATCGATGTAAAATTTATAACTCTCTTTTAAGATAATGACAATATTCTTTAATTGACTGTTAGTAGCTTCACGTAAAATTTATAATTTTATTTGTTAAAAATATATTTTTTTAATATAAAATTCATAACTCTCTATAAAGACTTATAACACTTAAACTTCAATTGGTGTAAAACATTTTGCTCATATTATGGACACGACCATGAATGTTTTCTACACTTCCACGTAAATTCTAACCAGAGGATCAGATTGACATAAAATGACCTAAAAGCCCAAACGGATATCCAATTGGTATAATCCACTAAGAAAGCCTCATATTGCTATTGGATCCATAATTTTGCCTTCAGTCTCACCAAGCTAGGCAATGACATTGGCCCGTCTGTTGCCTGATGACACGTTCTTTCAAATCCGAAGATACCCTTTTCCTTTCTTCCACAGGCGCGAAACTTAGCAGACAGAAGTGTAATGTGAGTGAAATATACCTGTAAATGGACATTCCCTATATAAACGATATACTATTATTAATTTTAATCCATATACTATATCATCATTCATGCCAAATTTCTTGTGAGGCTTTGCAGTTGAAATTAAACTCTTATACTTTTGAAAATCGCTTGTCCAAACAAGGTTGCGGATGATCTATCCATGACCAGGATGAAGCTTTGGTGAAACTAAGTGGAGGTCCGAAACGACTGATGTCGAAGAATCAATGGATGAGTTGTGATTAGAGGTGAAATGCCACTCTGAACCTAAAACTAGCTAGTTCTCCCTGAAATGCGTTGCAGGCTATGAGTTTTACTTTCATTAACAACGCTTTTGAAAGAATCGATGTTTTGTTCTTTATTTATACGCGTTTTAAATTCTATAATGACTGCTTTAATGATTATATAATTACGATTATGGCTTTTTAATATATAATTAATTTGTTCGTATTCTCTTGTTAAATTGACAACTGTGTATAAAAAATATTAAACAAAAAGATTGTCATTGTATTTCCTAAGAAAAAAATTAATACAATAATTGCCAACTAGAAATAAAATAATAATTGAAAAAAATTTAAAAGACAATATTCTAAAGGCTACATAAACCAAGATATAAAATTAACATATAACTAAGACTATGACATCATTAATTTGAATGTAATTTAAAATCAATCGGTGGTTGGATCCATGTATAAAGAAGTAGATATTTGTCTTAAAATTTGAATCGATAATGTTTTCTCACATTTTCATCTTTCATGTTGAAAAAATTAATATCTTGAGGGTCAAGTGGCCCCGATAAGTAGTAACAATAAAATAATTATTAATAAAATACATAGAATTAGATTTGGTTTCAAAAAAATCTAAAATTGAAACAGTTACAATCTGATTATCATCCACAAACATTATATTTTCATCTATGTTTTGTATCTTTGACAATTCACTTTTTTTATTATCCAAAACCAACTTAAAATCTTTAAATCTATAGGAAAATGAGCACAACAATGAAAGTCCTCAATATCAATATCAATTTCCTCTTTAATAGAGGATAGACCTCTTTTAGATGATTCAAAAAGATATGCTTGATCAACATAATTCCTTAACCTTAGACATAGCAACATGAGTATCATCACCTTTGGTGATTTTAAATGGTTGTTGAGACTACCATTAACATAAAAAAGAGAGATTATCAAGCTTTGAATTCTGATAATATAAGTCAAATTTTTATAAAAAAAATAACATCATTGAAAGTCGTTAGATCTTTATCCAAATATATCCAATTTCTCTATTTGAGTTTGTAGAAGGTTAATATGCATTTAAGACAGTAGATAACTACAACTATATAACTATTCGAATGCAATAAAAGGTTTGTTGACAATGACAAGATAACCTTATGAAGGTTATATTCGTGACTTGCTTTTATTGGATTGGGAACTTCAATCTTAGGGAGATCAATTGTAATCCTATACTTAAAAAGATTTAAGAGAGTTATGATCACATCTTTATCCACAGCGGACTCTAGTAACTCAATGTTATAGATTTTTGTTTGGCTTATAGGGTATATAATTGTCGAACTCTGTTGCACATTCTCATTGGAATCAACAACATTGGAAATAGATTAAGTGATGATCACACTTTTGAATCAAGAAAATTATTGAAAACAGAATGCCAATACTTATAGATTACACCAAATTGAATCAGATTGTTGAGGATATTTAATTTGTCAAAAACCAAACAAAGACAAGAGTGTTGAAAAATTTTCTCAATCTACTTTAGCATTATCGATACTTTTTTAGATTAGCAAAGGAAAAAAATAAGAAATTCTAATTTGAAAATAGAAAAAAACAAACACTTACCTAGCTTTGTATTTGATATGTTCTTGAGTTACCCAATTCAAGTAATGGTACCTAAATATACAGAAATTAAGTTTTTATATTATTGACATGATAAGTCTCAAATTAGGAATTGACTTCAAGAGTTATAATACAACTGCATTATAATTAATATAATTAAAAAAAATAAACAAACTTTAACTATAATTTGAATTCTTAATAAAATTTTGTGGGCATTGAGAACTTTGAAAGCTGCATATTTTTATGAGCTTGTTTTGCTTTGGACATGATAATATGGTTGAAGTCTTATGGGCCCGGAGCTCCGACTTCCTTAGATATGGTTGATCATCATTATGACTCATAATTAAGCTTGTCGAATGTCCATCTAATTTAGTTATTCCATGTCAGAATATTAATTTCATGCATCTTCAGCAATGTACCCTACATATCCATAATACATCAATTTCGAGTAGAACAAGAGAAAACGAGGTTCCTCATATTCACAATTTATATATAGCATAAAAGATATATAAAAACTGATATAAAGTTTTTATGAAACATAATAATTTTTAAAGAAATTTAAAATTAAGTTAAATTTATTTAATAAATTTACTTTAATAAACTCTTCTTTAAAAATAAATTATTTTACAAAACAACTTATATAAATTTTAATTTTAATTAAAATTACCATAAAAGATATTTAATAAATCTTCATTTTCATCTTCATCACTAGCTTCCATTACTTCTCCATTCCATCTTTTAGAAGCACCACTATGGTCCAGGTTCTAGTTTTCTTTTAGACAAATAAAAAATTTTGCATGAGAGATGGCTAAAAGGTAATTATAAAGCTAATCATATTATATATATCAAGTTTTATAACTATAATAATAAAAATAAAAAATAAAAATTGAGGGGTGGAGGCTGCCACCACCCGCCACCGCTTGGCTCCACCCGATTCATATCACTCACCTTGGGCATTGTCGTCAGATTCCTCTTCCACACGATTACCATCAGGAGGATTCAATCATCATCATTTAATTGCTCGCTATTCTACCTC